TCAAAAAAATGAGTATTTCCCCATTCAAATTGGTCTTGCAAGCCTGAAATATCTGCCTGGAGCCGTTGCAAATATGGCTGACAGAGTGACCTGGCTTTCCTTGAAAGGGACTTTGAGCATAAGCAGCAAATTATGCCTAATATATGCAAAATACGATAGCATAATATCAGATTTCATACCTAATGAGAAATAACTTGTAGTGCTGTCAAACGATTAATCGCGATTAATCGCATATAAAATAAAAGTTTTTGTTTCCATAATATATGTGTGAGTACTGTGTATATTTATTATGTATATGTAAATACACACATGCATGTATATTTATGAAAAATATGTTATGTTTTTATATTAAATATATTTATATGTAATATAAATTATATGAATATAAATATATACATGTAAATATTTATAAAATATATACTGTATGTGTTTAAATATACATAATAAATATACACAGTACACACACATTATGTAAACAAAAACCTTTATTTTGTATGCGATTAATCGCGATTAATCGCTTGACAGCACTAGAAATAAACTATTTCATTTGTCACAATTTCACACATCATCTCAAATTTTGACAGTTACTCGTGTTCTGTTAGTATTATGGCATATTAAGTTAATTACAAATTCACATCATCTGCTACATGCGTTTTCCAAATGCATCAACAACAAAAAAAATGGTAAATTGTGATTTATTGACAAAGGGGTCTGGGTTCGGTTCTTTTAAAGGGGTCATCGGATGCGACATACACTTTTACAAGTTGTTTGAACTGAAATGTGTGTCGGCAGTGTGTGTACACAACCACCCTATAATGATAAAGATCCACCCAGGGTGAGCAGAGCTCATTAGTATTTAATGGAACATGCACTAAAACGGGTTGCAGAAAACAGCTGATTTTGACAAGGTAAAAGTTGTTTTACACTATCATTGAGAAATCTTAACCAAAGTATGTTATAGACTAATTACTGAAATCTATTGACACCCCTGGTTTAATTGCATTTGTCAACCAAAAATAGTGTATTTTAGGTATGTAACGATTAACCGCGAGCCGGTTGAAAATCGATTCAAATATGTGACGATTCAAATCGGTTGAGATGCTAAACAAATCGCAATTCAATTAGGGGTAGGAGTTTATATGAATGTATGTCTGAGGGGAACTTACTGTCTTTAGAAAAGTTTAGATTAGGGATGCAGTGATTAACCAGTTTCACAATTAACCGCGCTTTAAAATGTCACGGTTAATTAATCGTAAAGGCTCTGCTACAACGAGCGTTTCTGTTGTACAGAACGGAACAGTTGCAACTTGCGCAAAACGAAAACAAAGTTACACTAGCGGTGCACCATTTTAAAATGCTGTGCTTATCAGAGACACGGAGGCTACTACACACACTAGATTAACTATGATAGAGGAACCAAACAGCGATCCTTTATTTCCACCAGAGAAATGCCTGAAGTCGATAGTGTGGGACCATTTTGGGTACACCAAGAATGACCAGGGTGTCATTTAAATATTGCCGTAAAAACTGCTGATAAAGAGCGAATACACGGCTTTAAACTATTCTAATGCACGACGTGAAGGCAAGACTGACGCGAAGCTACGGCTCGTTAGCGCAATATTCTGCCCACTTCAGATCAGACAGATTAAATAGTGTGGTAAGATCACATTTATTTGAATTGATTAATTGTAACATTTAGCTACTTTAATTAATTATTCGACCGAGAGAGAGAGAGAGAGAGAGAGAGAGAGAGAGAGAGAGAGAGAGAGATAGTTTCCCCTGTGGGATAAATAAAGTTAATAGTCCTATATCAATGATACTTATTAACATTGTTATATATTATTCCTTTTATAGTATTATGCATAAATCAAAAACAACAAGATTTTTTTTTTTTCACCACGTTTCCAGTTTTCTGCCTCAGGTCCAAAAGAAACGTAAAAAATGTACAAACTGAAAACACAATACTTTTGTGATCCATTTTCATTAGTTATTTTCAAAAGGGTAATACTGACATGGATGTTTACAGATCAGAGGTCACCTTTTTAATTCCAATTGGAGAGATAGACATTTGTTTGTCTTTATTATTATTATTTTGTGCTGTATTATTGGTTACTGTGTTATTTCTGTTTCTAAAGGCAACAATAAATAACACTTTATTATCTAAAGAGTGTCCATGTGATTTTATACATTAATAATTTTGTGAAATATTAAAGTTCATAAGTGCAGCGCTGCTTTGTTTACAGCGGAAACCAAGGAAACCGCCACCTGCTGGCAGAGAGTGAATCTGTCTCTCATTCAGCTCGTCTACTGTTTGTTTCATGCAGATATTTTTTTTGTATAGTTTCACAAAGCTGAAGTCAAACCATTCTGTTTTTGCTTCAAATTTCGAAATTATACAATGTAATTTAGAGTTAAAAACTGCTCATGTTGCATATTTGCAGCATCTTTGCTTGCTTCACATTTAAAATGCAGTGGTTGCTAATCTAATCTTAATTAAATCTAATTTTAAATGGAAAGAGCACAGACAAAGCCTTATTTTGTTTATATGAAGATATTTATTTTATTTGTGTTACTTATTTGTCTTAAATCTCATTTTGTAAATAAAAAATCGTGAATCGAATCGCGAAAGCAAAATCGTAAAACGAATCAAATTGCGAGTTGAGTGAATCGTTACATCCCTAGTGTATTTGTTGCCATTGGTATTATTGCAAAAAAAAAAAAAATAGGCCTATATCTGATAGAAACACATTAAAAAGTAAGCAATATAAAGAAGAGGAGTTTTTTTGGAAAGAACCAGACAGCCCCAACTTCTTCCACAAAGAACTTGAAGAAATGACAGCAGACTCATTACTTTGCAAAGATGTTTTAGACAACATCATAGATCATAATTAGCCCAATCTCAACACTCAGCTCATTAGTGAGATCTGATATTGTCAGAGTTTCGTTTGACTTGACTGCTCAAGTGACGAGCCGCGCAGCGCCGACACGCACCAACTCCCATCGACCAATTACCATCTGACAATTAGAGAGAGGGAGAGACCAGAGATTGACTGAAAGAGCATCAAAGAGATCGGCTAATGCTGGTCGGCAAAACTCAAGAAAAGAGCCCATTACTGCCTTTGAAAGAACTGCACAGGATGAAAAGAGACCCACATTAGAGGCCTTGTCAAATAATGACATTTTTAAGCACAAAAACAGACATGAACCCACATAGCAAGAGAGAGACTGTCCCAATCTATCACTTGAGGGACAGATCACACGCTCTTGAGTAGAGCTGTCGCTCACGAGCGAAGGTTCAATAGAGACTGTCCATCTCAATTGTTACAGAGGACGTCAAATCTTACAAATCATGCAGTGACAGCGGGGCTCGACTATATCAAATATTTAATCTGAAACTGCTTTAGTTCTTACCAACAATCAGCTCTGTGACATTAAACAAATAACTTTGGAACTGTAGTGTAACATTTCTCAAATTTGGTTACACTTTACTTTGATAATCCACTTTAAACATTCTACTAACTATAAGTAACTTTACAGCTACATGTCATCTAATTCTCATTAATTTTCAACTACATGTCTACTAACTCTCAGAGTAGACTGTTAGGTTAAGTTTAGGGTTAGTAGAATAAGTTGACATATACTTGCAAAGTATCTTATAGTCAGTATGTTGTATGTTGTGGACCCATCAAAATAAAGTGTCTGAAGGTATTAAGCAGACAGTCTGTTAACCCTCTACGGTACGGAATATAAACTCAATAAGGGAAAAAATGTGTGTGATGTTTTTCCTACTTAAAATTGGACACTATAACAATATCAATAAACAATTTCATAATTTTTTTTTTTTAAGCTTGTTGCCTCAAGGCAACATTGTACCACAACGGACAAATTTAAACATTTGACATTTTCATGCAGAAAAAAAGAAATATATTTATTGAAAACAAATTTATTTAACCAAACACTTGAACAAACAGATTTATCTAGTTTTTAATGTATTGCACAACTGATATTTAATAAAAAAGTAACATTTCATATCCAGCTGTTGCTCTCAAGCAACATTGTACCATCGTGGATAACAAGTATAACTAAACTATCATATCTGTTATCATACCAACACATTATAATCAGTGTAGTTTCAAAGTAAAAAATGAAAAATCATCATAACCTTATACTAATATGCACTTTATCTTTACAAGCATGCACATACACACACAAGCACGTGCATGCAAAATCTCCTACTTCACTAATGACACCTCATTGCTTGTGAAAGCCGAGGAAGCAATTCCTCTCAACAGAAAAATCATAGTATGTGCAGAAATAGTATGAGAATTACTATTCTTGCAAATGCATTACAAAATCATGCAAAAATTCTAATACATTTAGATCATTCTAACTCTTTTCCTTACAAATATCACATACTTGTATTCTAACCTAGTATGCCTGCATGGCCTTATGCAATTCCATTACGGTACAATGTTGCCTTGAGGCAACATGCAGTTTTTTGTAATTTCCTATGATACATTTGATGAAATATTATGCAAAGTTTTTGAAAATACTTCTTTACTTTCCAATGAAGGTGACTAAGATTTTTTGTAGGCAATTATATGCACGGAAATTGATGAAAAATGCACTTTTCATTGGACAAAATATGGAGTCATGTGACATGTGCACATGTCCTGAAAGTGGAAACAAAATGGACCCCTGTGGGTCATGTGACCACTTTTTTTATGTTCATTTATTAGTATTTGACTTCTACTTCCCTGAGACAGCATTGATCAATTAAATGAGTGTCTCATTTCATTGCCTGGAGGCAACACGGTACCATAATCTAATGACTGCTAGCTGACATGTAGTTGCAAAGTTACTTACTGTTAGTAGAATGTCTAAAGTGTTACCTCAAATTTACCTCCACACAACTTTCTTAAATCAACGAGTGATGAGTCAAAATTTATGACCCAAAGTCAGTGATCTATATCTTAATGCATGTGAATGTGTGTATTTACCTGCTATTGAGTGTGTAGTTCTGCTGTTTCAGGTTCAGTTCTCGCTGTTGAATCTGTATGACCTCCCTGGACAAATCCTCAGGTTTCCTACAACAAAATCATTTGAAAATAAGAAGAGAGTCACAGGTATTTTATATAATAAAAAAAAATCTACTAGCACCAGATGAATAGGGCACAAAAAAGGGCCTGAAATGTCCAATAAAAGACTAGTTTTCATTTTCAGCAAATGGACACTTAACCTTCAGAAAATGCTGCTAACCCGTCCAATAAAAGACTTTTTCGACACTTAACCTTCAGAAAATGCTGCTAACCCACCTCAAGAGGTCAAAACATATCACAATGAGCTAGGGCTGCACGATATATCGTTTCAGCATCGATATTGCAATGTGCGCATCTGCGATGCAATGTTTAGTATACTGATCGTTATATTTACACTGATCGTTTTCTTTGCCCACACAGACACCGGTACAGGAACAGCTGTACAGAGATACCCATTTTTAAATGAATTTAGTAGCAGAGCTACTGCAAGAGATTTTCAGTGCTGGAAATCCATTTATCCTTTGTTGAAACTTCTGGGTCATCGTGGAGAGCGTAGGTCACGGTTGCTTAGCAACGGCAGATGCTACGAAATTGCAAGCTCCCGAATGCTTTGGAAAGAAGGAGAAAGCGGCGCGGCTGGCTTTTCCACGCGTTTTTAGGCGCGACATGTGAACGGCTCCAAAGTCTTTCTACACTGGACGCAACAAAGCGACTTTTGCAAATCATTTGAACTTTGTGTCAGTACGTCATAAATAGAACGGGGCATCAGCTTACTGTGGGGATTTGTCGGGTCGCACCGCATCCAGTGTAAACAGCATCACTGATTATAATTGGCTCGATAATATTTTGTCGTGTCGCGCCGCTCGCGTCCGGTGTAGACACGGTGAGAGCCACGCAGATGCACGTGAACACCGAATTCCGCTCACGTCCGCGTCTATTTGTGCCTGAAATGACACATACGCGCAAAATTATGTCAAAATGCATGTCTCTGCAAGTATCCTTGTAAACACAGTTGCTTATGGTTTAGTTGAAAGTAAACAATTGAGAAAGAAAATGGATGTGTAACAGTATATTGGTTCACAGCAGTTTAATATTCCTGCTTTCTGTCATGAATGTAAATCAAAGAACAAAACACAGAGAAAAACACTTTAAGCTTTAACACAGATTTATTAGATTTAATTTTTTTATACAGTGAAGACTATGCATTGTTATTTTACATTTGATTATTTTCTATGGTGATTTACTCGCCTACAAAATCACCCCAATCATTGATTATTTTTTTCCAAATAGAGCTATTCAAGTCATCTAGTGATTTTTTTTTTCATATGGCAATATATAAAACGCAAAGAAAAAAGAAAAGAAAAAAATCGCAATGTGAGTTTTTTCCAATATCGTGCAGCCCTACAATGAGCCATTTATAATTTACAATTATTATAATACAATTATTATATATAAGGTTTGCAATTCTAACAACCCTATTTCCTAAATTTGGGACACGTCTAAAGTAAAAAAAAATCATGTTTTTTGTGTGCGTGTTATTTTATTTATTTATTTATTACACAGGAAGTGTATAAAAACAAATCTGACATTTTTTTAATTAATTTTCTAGCAATGAATTTTGTATGGAGTAATAGACAAGTAAATATTAATTTTGTCAATTAAAATTAGTTAAAGGGGTCCCCCCTTTAACTGAAATAGTTTTCATGCAATGAATCAAATATTAATTAAACAGATTGTGTCAATTATGATTTTAATTGTTAGACAGTCAAGAAAGTCAAAATCTCAGAGGTAAGACAAGTTCAAATGACTTTAACAGACATCTGAGGTGTTCAAAGTTGAGAGAGATGAAACTGAAGTAGCGACAGACTTTCCCTTGCATATTGTGATCTACTGTCAAGTATAGCACATTATCGGGATAAAAAAGTAGTGCAGGGACTCGGTTCTATCCATAACTTAATGTTTTAATTTTATGTTATGAGCTATGCATTCAAAAATGGAGGCAGATCTGAATGTGAGCTTGTCTGGGAGCAGAGTTTAAGTGGACTGGATAATAAATGTTTAATTAAAGTTTTAAAAAATGCATGGATAAATCATTCACAATCATTCACAAGGATTTACAAAATAGATAGCAACTTTAAAACGGTCTACTTTCCATGCAATGCTAATTATGATCCACAATAGTTTACCTAAAGCATCTAATAGTTCAGACAAAAAAAAAAAAAAAAAAAGATTTTCTTGTCGTAATTGTACACTAGAGTGTACCTTATTCATGAAAAGCATTATATAAGCCCACAAACTGTAAACTCTGAAAACTCATTCTCAAACTTAAACTCATTCTATAAAAGACTCATTAGCGCCTGCTAATGAAACATAAATTAATTTGTGAACTCATGATGGAATCAGTTTCCTAACAGAGATGAAGACAATTTCTCCAAAGTCCAAAGCTATAATATTTACTTTTTCTAATTAAAAGTACAACTGTTTCCTGACGTATTGCCCTGACTAGGTTTTTAAAACAGCTCTTTGTGAAAACACATTGACTTTTCTAATTCGTCAAGCCCCCACACATTTCAAAATTACCCATTGTTCAGTTATTTTGTTTGGTTTTTAAAACTTGATGTCATAATAGAAGTTATAAAATGTAATAATCACTAGGTCATGATAAAAAAAAAAAAATTCAATTTTCATTTAAAATATTTTATATAAATTCTTCAAATGTCATACAGTTACACAAGACTCTACTGTTTTGATGTTATTTTCTCAAGCATTCTCATAAAAGCAGGTTTTGAAATAATTCTGCAAATTCACTTTATAAATACTATGTTTTGCTTGCTGGAAGTACACAGCACAAGAAACCAGTAGCAATATATATTCAAACTGCCTAATATATTCACATTTATTTGTATATATCTTACATAGCTAATAGGGGTGCTACGATTGATCGGCTACCGATCACTATCGGCCGATAATCGCTTTGGGATGATTGATCGGCGGTCTCTAAGAATGCAAATGGCTTCAAATCACATCGCGTCTGCTCTAAGTGAGCTGCACGCTGCACAGTTGATACACAAATTGTCACTTGCACTATCGAGGCAGTGTCGCATCGTCACTGAAGTTTATAAATTGCATTACTTTTTAATTCTTGCCAGTGTTTAAACTATTCAACGCTCGCGTGCTCTCCTGGAGACCGTGCACTCATGCACACTCGCAGCGCGCACACATAATGCCAAATTCACATTATTCCGTTTGCAGTGCATACGTGGTGCGTATGTTTTCCGCGCTCATGTTAACGGATTAAAGCATTCACACTGCACACACTGTTAAGGTCTGGCAGTGTGTTTAGGAGCGGTGCGTCTGCAGCAGTGCAGAGATCGTTTCCGCACCGAGTCTATTTTTGCTGCACTGCAAGCGCTGAATTAAAGTAACAGCGCATTGTTTGCGGTAAATATGAACATGCATTGACACAAAAATGTAGTAATTACACCATAAATGCATATAATTAAAGTCTACTGTGTTTCACAGTCAACACATAGGCTATGGCTTTTTGGCAATAGGTTTAAAGGAAAAGAGCACTTTTAGATAAACAAGGCAATAGTTCTTAAAGTTCTTAATTAAAGTTCTTTATGAACCGCAGGATTGCTTGTAATAAAGATTTAAATGCAAAAGAAAAGGCAGTTGAGCTGACTGTTTCTGTCAGTGGTAAGTTTTAATTTAGAATGTTTGTGCTAATGTAAGAAAAGTAGTTTAAATGTTTTGCTTTAGCAATTTAATATATAAATCTAGAAGTAACTGCAAAAGTAAAAAGCATTGGATAATTGATGAAAGATTGTATTACTGTACTGTGTAAAAAAAATCACAATGTTGAAAAAGCATTTTAAGTAACAATGTTTGGATTTAAAATCAAAATAATGGATAAATGTTGTGTTTGTGGTAAACAGCCACAGATTAGGAGCATACTCCTGTGTGAAAGCACAGTCCATGCTGCTTCTGTACTAGGGTTGGGCCGATAGACGATGCCATCGTCGATGGCTGACAGACATCACGATGTTGAGCCGGCCACCCCTCAAATGAAAAATAAAAAATCCTCTCACACGAGTCACCTAAGAGAGGGATTCATTTTCAAAAATGAAATTCAGGCCCTGAATAAATGTCTAAAAATCTTGATTGGATCATCACTATAAATAATTCTACATGATAAAAAGAAGGCTTTAAAAAGATCGGTATCGGTGATCGGATCGGCAGATACTGCTTTCTGAGATCGGTGATCGGCCTCAAAAATCCTGATCGGAGCACCCCTAATAGCTAACCACCGGGTCATGTTTCAAATGATCATAGGGCATGTTAAATTACATCTGCCGTCTTTGATTTGCATAATTAACGGAGCTGTCAACATCAAACAAAAGGCACAGGAACTTAATCACACCCACAGACAAAAAGGCTTTGAATGAATTTGCTCAATTTTTCTTTATATTTCTGTGATCAAAGTGCTATCTTATAGCTGACACCTTTGTTCTGTATTTGAGATGAAAGCTTATTCTAAAGACAATTAGTTCAGCATTCAAACAGTAGGAATATCGCCGCAGAGGGAACATAAAGGAAAGGAATTATAAGACAGAGTACAATACATTTTTTGAGTATGTATTTCTCTTTCCCTCTTCATTTTTCAGAAAGTTATCTTTCGTTTCCTTCACGGCAAGACGAAATGAGTCTACGGTACAAAAAAGGAAAGTCCCAACCGCTGCACTTTTCTTTGCTGAGACAAAACATCGAGAAGATATGACACTGGTTTCTTTTATTTGGAGAATCCCCACGAGAGTTACATTGCTCGCCCAGGTAAAACATGCCAGGTAAAACATGAGAGAGCAGAATGAAACTACTGCCTGACATATTTATACTGCCGGTGAATGTGGTGGTTCATAGGCCTGGAGAGCAGAGAGAGCAGAATGAGTAATGCTCAATGATCAATCAGAATCCAAAATCAGATTTATGCTCCACCAAAGCGAGACAGGCACTTTGGCTCATTCGCTGTGCCATTATCCTTTCAGAGCAACGGAAATACATCAGGAAGAGTTTGATTACATAAAGTGTTTTACCTAAGCGAATGTAAGCATAATCAGTTGAATCCTGCATTCAAACGCCTCACCCAAGGCCATATCATACTTCAAAGACAGGAAATGCATACAAACAGGAACAAAGACCTTCGCTGAGAAAAACAGACGTCACAGCGAACAGGGAGGAGAGAAATTATCTGAGGAGGAAGAACCTATATGGGAATTAAGATTCTGCCCAGATACATGAAGGAAATTGACTCTGCAAAACTGTGAGCAATTACGTGCCGTTTGAAGTTAATAATCATTATTGGGCAATTACGGAATAGTCGAAGAGGGAGGTTTATGCTCTACCACATTCAAACACACACATACATCTAAAATAATCATTACAAGATAATTCACAACAAATTTGCAATGATTTTGTTGGAAATGTAAAATTATGCACCGTCGTGAATATCGTAATGGTTTTTATTTGCCCATAAGTGCCCTAAAGACTGAGGGTGAGTAAAAGATGAATGAATTTTCATTTTCTGGTGAACGATCCCTTTGAAAGGCTTCAGCAAAAATATATGTAGGTAAATATTGCTGTTTATTATGATATGGGTGAATATAAATGAAAACAATTAAAGTTATATTTGTTCATTTAAAAGAAAAAACATTTCATGCATATTTTATGTGTTGTATTAAACAGTTTAAGGCCCAATCCCAATTCTACCCCTTAACCCTTCCCCTTTCCCCTACCCCTCCGTTTCGCGCATAAAAGCATGAGCAATTAATCGCAACAGGAAAATCTGATACCGGCATATCCCTAGATGTGACAGACGAGGAACAGAGCCATCACGTGAGCAGTAGCCTATATTTAAAAGAACAGCTCACTCAAATGAAAAATTCCTGGTCAGGACACTAAGACGAATCAATGTATGACTTAAGCCTGTGTTATACTTTCCGCATGAGCAATCCGGACGCGTACACGGACAGCGCGGACGCAGACTACTTGTATTTATACTTCCGAAAGCATACACTGATGGTCCGCTCTGCGGACGTGTTCCATACATGCGTAGTAGAACGGCTAGAACAATAAACAAACATGTGAACAAAGAATTGCCCAGAGTTATTGCACATCTGGCTGTCTTTATATTGTTTTATCGACGGATTGTACAGGTTCGAGTAGCAACGGGCTTCTTCACACAGCCTGCGCATGCGCAGTAGCCTACTGACCACGCGTACTTGTCCGCGCGGTCACAAAAAATGGGAGGCACGTGGATGTCCGCGCGGAGCCTCCGCGCACACTCTCCGATGACGATTTTTACGTCACGCATACCATAGCGGACCCTAGCGGACTCGCGGACACGGAAAGTATAACACAGGCTTAACCTGTAGTTGTCCTAGCATATTAAAGGGTTAGTTCACCCAAAAATGAAAATTCTGTCATTAATTACTCACCCTCAAGAATACTTTTTGTGCGCAAAGAAAACAATAACAATTTATTCAGCAGTTCTTCTCCCCGAGTTACCGTCTTCTGCCATTTTGGAGAGTACCCCAGAACATAATCAACAGGGCTGGGTTTTGACACAAATTTCACTATTCGATTAAAGTCAAAATTCTCTTAACTAATGCTGTAAAATATACATGAGTCAGTTGGTACTGCATTACTATAATATTGAAGGTTAAATCAAACTGATTTTTTAGGCTATACAACTGCTTAAAATTACACTTAATGAAGTTTTTATAATAAAAGTTACAATTACATAATATTTCTAAATCAATTCGGGGTTTTTTTTACATTTAAATGGTGGCTGTCAATCAAAAAAATATAAATTAAACATTGAAGAAAAGTAAAAATTATAATAAATTTATATGGTGCATATATTTAGCAAAATGCCCCTCTCTACAGTTTAATTTTCTAGCTGACTAATGAGTTTATGGTCACCGCATGTGTTTTTTTCTGAGGTGACGTTGTTTACAAGCCGTTATATTGACGTCTTTGTGTGGCTGAAACACTAATTGAGGGATTAACATGAGAAATGATACTGATTGTAAAGTTGTACTCTTTCTTTTATATTACCTTCAGATGTTTAGTCATGTTTATTTTGTGCTGAAACTGGTATTAATGTGGAGAAGACGATCAGTTCACGTGCGCCTCGTGCGGCCGTGTCTGTTGAACTGAGGCGCTACAGCAATCTGTCACTCCACATTAAACAGTGCCAAAAACGGCATTTATTGTTTGAATACTGCAATACAATGGACAGAATTTGAATTCTGAGACTTTGTTTCATATTAAAAGTACCAAAGCACAATGCTTATTGCGATATATTGGATGGGAGGTGCCCTTCAATGTTCCGTCCATTAACTGAAAACAGGTTAGACTAATCAATTCTTGGGATTTAAGAAACGATATCGTTTCGTAAAAATGAGAATCGATTGAAATCGAGATATCGATATTTTTTACCCAGCCCTAGGAATCAACGTAATGAGCGTTGTTTACGCTCTGCATGCGCGCACTTTCGCTGAACGTAATGGGTTGTTTATGTTCAGTAGACAGCGTGCGCATGCTGAACGTAAACAACGCTCATTACGTTGATTACGTTCTGGGGTACTCTCCAAAATGGCAGAAGACGGTAACTCGGGGAGAAGAACTGCTGAATAAATTATGTTGTTATTGTTTTGATCTGGGCGTTGATCGTGGGATAATAGAATTAACAGCGTTGGGCTGGAGTATCTAAAGAAACAGAGACGATTAAATTGACAGCTCTGGTAGGCAGTGCCAGTGGCCTGACATCTGCATATGATGGATGGCAGACATGATTTCCATTTAGTGTCTGTATTCATATATAGCGTTTGTGCGATCTCTCTAGCCATCCACCAGCAGACGAGGGGAGTTACAAAGGAAAGAAATCATGCACAGATTAGTGTGCTGGGAAATGGATCGCTGCATGATGGGAATCTAGCTAAAGGATATTATTAACTCAGCAAAAGATGGATAATGAGTTATTGTTTGACAAAAAGTGGGTTGTGTCTATATAAATAAATAGGGACAATGAAATAATAGATGAACAACACAGAAAGGGAACGAATGAATGCATTAAACGAAGTGCATTTTTTTCAGGTCTGTATTTTTCTGAATTGTGACCCTGAACCACAAAACCAGTCATAAGGGTCAGAGATTTATACATCATCTGAAAGCTGAATAAATAAGCTTTCAATTGATGTATGGTTTGTTAGAATAGGACAATATTTGGCCGAGATATACACATCAACTATTTGAAAAACTGGAATCTGAGGGTGCAAAAAAATTAATATTGAGAAAATCGCCTTTAAAGTTGTCCAAATGAAGTTCTTAGCAATGCATATTACTAATCAAAAATTAAGTTTTAATATATTTACAGTAGGAAATTTACAAAATATCTTCATGGAACATGATCTTCAATTAATATCCTAATGATTTTTGGCATAAAAGAAAAATCAATAATTTTGACCAATACAATGTATTGTTGTACAGTAGGAAATTTACAAAATATCTTCATGGAACATGATCTTCAATTAATATCCTAATGATTTTTGGCATAAAAGAAAAATCAATAATTTTCACCCCTACAATGTATTTTTGGCTATTGCTTCAAATATACCCCAGCGACTTAAGACTGGTTTTGTGGTCCAGGGTCACATTTGTGTCCCGAAGATTGAACGAAGGTCTTACAGGTGTGGAGCGACATGAGGGTGAGTAATTAATGACAGAATTTTCATTTTTGGGTGAACTATCCCTTTAAGCTGAGATAGAAAGAAGTGTTTAAAATAAATAAATAAATAAATCACCTAAACACAAAGTTTAAACTATATTATTTTTACACTATATTGTATTATATTTATTTATAACCATATTTACACTACTGTTCAAAAGTCTGGGGTCGGTAAGATTTTTTAAAAATGTTTTTGAAATAATCAAAATGATCAACAAGGCTGTATTAAAAATACAGTATAAAAAATAAAAAAAAAACTGTAATATTGTGAAATATTACTACCAATTGACATAACCATTTTCTCTTTTAATATATTTTAAAATGTCATTTATTCCTGTGATGCAAAGCTGAAATTTCAGCAGCCATTTTTCCAGTCTTCAGTGTCACGTGATCCTTCAGAAATCATTCTAATATGCTGATTTGGTCCTCAAGAAACATTTCTTATAATTATCATAAATACTAGGCTAAGAGTCTAAATTTATTCTTAATTTAGTCTAAATTCTAAATTTATTGTAGCTCCTGCAACTATTCACGGTGTATCTCACAAGTGCACATAATAGAAGTGTCTGCAACAATCTAGGCCTTCACCAACTAGTCAGACTTAAAACATGAAAGGGCGACAAGCTTCAGTGCAGTAGTGTGCGCCTGGCTTAAGATTTCATACTGTGAACATCCTAGCATGTCAGGTTGTCATTCAATGCCATTATTCAGTAACCTACATTGAGTTAGAGTTTCCATTCCTCTATAAATAAAACATATACTGTGGAAATGCACATCAACACCAAAACATTTTTTTTTTTTTTTACAACTTTGTATTAATATTCTGTACTTTTGTTGTGGTAAAGTCTAGACCTATCAATAAATCTGCATTTTAAATAGCAAAAAAAGAACCAGTCGGAGTTTAGCCAAATTATATATATACAAATTAATTGCCAGCCCTCAGTTTAATGATTTAGTCTTACATAATCATTTTCCACCCTCTCTTTGACCCTAGTTCACCAAAAGTGACAGTTCTGTAACTGTTAACATTTACTAAACCTGTATGCTTTTTTTCTTCAATGGAAAACAAAAGTAGAAATTTTAATAATTTACTGATCACTGTATTCACTGGCACTGCTACGTGAAAATCTTTATGTCAGGTCTTCAGCAGTCATACAATAGCTTTATGTGAAAATTTAGATTGTTATTCTTCTCTTTAAATCAGATGAACTCAAGAATGAAAATTATCAATGAATTTGTAAGATTAGATTAAAGGGGTCATATGATGCTGCTAAAAAGAACATTATTTTGTGTATTTGGTGTAATGAAATGTGTTTATGCGGTTTAAAGTACTTAATACCAGTATTTCTGACATCCCTCAGTGCTCCACACATCATAGAAATTGTAGAATAAGACTGAAACACAAATACCTTCATCTTGAGTTCACTCTCTGTGCTGGTGGAATGAGATGACTGCAGATTTTGGTACCTCTGACTGACATCCTGGAACTTTCTATTAGCAACAGATGAAAAACAACACAGTGCATATATATTTATTAGAGGGTATGAGGAAAATAGTGTACATTTGTGTATGTGTGAATTCATACTTGCGCTGCACATCCAGTTGTTCCTGCAGGGCCTGGATCTCCAGGTTCTGGGTTGAGAATTTGGACTCCTGAATCTGGATCTGTTGATTGAGCCTTCGTGTCTCATCTTTCAACTCACTGATCATCTGCAACATGAAAATAATTTACATTAATTAAACTATTGCAATCCATAACGGTATTAACAGAAAAATAATAGTTAAAAAAAGGACTTAAACTAACTCATATTTTTTGATTGCCATACAGTTGTTTTATTTTTTGTGAATGTACAACACTTTAAAAGTTCACGCTCAGTGAGATTTGTTTTTAAAAATTTTAATTCAGCAAGGATGTATTAGTTTAATCATAAGTGGCAGTAAAGACACTTATAATGTTACATAATCAGGGTTCCCACTCTTTCATGAACAGCAGCTGCTCAAATTTTTTTTGAAAATATTTCATGAACGTGCAAATCTGCAAAAAAATAAATATAAAGAAATAAAAAAATAGGACTTTCTATTTGCTTTTAAACGAATTTTTATATTTTGTTAAAAGTTAAATAAGGGGTCTGATGTAGTAAAAAAAAAATGACACACACACACTTACTGAGTGTGGAAATATTTTCCTTCATGGTATTAGATGACAATACCAGGGTAACGTAATTTGCTACACACCATGGTGCTAAAGGTCTGCCCTATTCATATATCATGACATTTAAACTATATACAACACAGAACTTCAAAGAGTACTATGGTATTATCATAGTTCATGGTCCAAAACATAGTATTTCCTTTGACAGACTCGAGATCTCTTTAAAACAGATTAAATAACGAATTAAATGAAATATTTTACAATTCTTGTTAATGAAGGTAAACATTAATAGAGACGGTATATGAAGTTAAATCACACACGCTAACAGTTCAGTTATTTAGTTAGCAAGCGTTCAGCTAACTTGACCTCACTAATGCTCGTCAATAAAACGATTTTACTCACAGGCTAAAATACAGACCGAATAAAAATGCAATAACATATAACAATAACGTGTCTTTCTCTTGAATTAATATTTATGAGAAATCCGTAACTCACTCTTCACAGCTCCCTCTCTCTTGGCGCTCGTGTCTCTAGTTTGAAGTTTGAACTTGCAGCAGTTTTGTTGTCGTTGGTTGAGATGCCGCTACTTCGTATATGTGAGGAAATGAGCGCTGGTTCGCTCAACAACACAACAGCGCCACCTGTGTGGATGGGCGGAATAGATTCACTCATTCTAATTCTATATACCGCTTTCATCGAAATTTTAATTGGTCGCACTTACACTAGCTAAAAATACTATGTACATCTATGCTGTAAAACCAACTTATTCTTGTTGTTTATTGAACTGGTGCGTAAAATTAATAACACACAAGCACTAGTGTTGTTGAGCACGTGGAGGTCGTTCACGCTGACGCGTAACTCACGCGCTCCAATACACTTCCGACTATGGCAAGCCGTTTTAACATTTCATCTATAAGCCTTACTAGTATCTATTTTCATGGTACTAGTATCTATTTTTTAGATACTAGTATCTTTTCCATTAAGTACTAGTACTTATTCATTAGGTACTAGTGCTTATTCTTTAGCTACTAGTGCTTATTCTTTAGGTACTAGTGTTTATTCTTTAGGTACTAGTGTCTTTTGTAAAGTTACTAGTACTTATTCATTAGATACTAGTACTTAATCATTAGATACTAGTACTTATTCCAATAGTGACTTGTATTTAATTATATTCTTCTTGTTAAGAAAAAATAGAACTAATACTTATTTTTTAGTTACTAGTAACTTTTTAGACCAGAGATATCCTGAACTTAACAGATACTAGTACTTTTTAAATTATCATTTCTGCCCAGTATGGTAATCGTATGTTGAATATTAATGAGCCGGCACATATAGGAGAGAGATTAGGAGCTGTATCTGAATAGTTAGGCCTACTACGCTACTGTATTTTAATGTTGGCCATTATGGTGGTACTTGGAGAGCCAAATATTTTCTGAGGTGGTACTTGGCATAAAAAGTTTGAGAACCACTGAAATAAAAGATTGTAAGGTTGCATTTCAAGGCAGAAGAATAAGTATTTCTGTTTCAAAAGTTGATGTATGGAAGATTGTGATTAGTTGTGACACTTTTCACTTCCAGTGAATATTTTCTCAGGGGTACATTTACTTTTTGAAAGTCAATTTCTCTATAGACAAACATTAAATCATTGCTACAGAACAGCTATTTAATTTCAATAGATAAGGGGGGAAAAAAACTGTAACGCACACTTTGACCAGGGTTGCCAGGTTTTCACAACAAAACCCGCCCAATTGCTACTCAAAACTAGCCCAATCACGTTTCGAGGGGGAACCCCCAGTAAAAATCGCATTCTGGTCGGGTAAAATACACGTTTTTGGTGGGGTTCCCCTGGTAAAATGCACATTTTAGGGTCTAAATATCACACATTATTGGGGTCGCTTAAACCCGCGGACATGAAAAACAACCCGCGGCAACCAAAAGGGTCTGGCTGCAGACTTGCGCTTGCACTCTCAGACTTGCACTCTCAGACACTTGCACTTCCGCTAGCGCTTTATCATCCGTTATTATGTCACATTAAGCGTTTTGCTGTATTGGAGGACAAGTGAAAGTTTGCGCATTGTGTTCATGGCCATCTGCTTGCCTTGTAGTACATGAAATAATAACTATATATCGAATTTGATATTTTAATTGCACTTAATGTATCTTAATACATTAAGCCATATTAAGTATTCAAACAAAAAGTAATCAATAAATAGAACAAAATAAAAAAGACTGCAAGTGACGTCGTTAGCGGAAGCGCAAGTGTCTGAGAGTGCAAGTGCAAGGCTGCAGCCAGACCCTTCTCGCGGCAAAAGTGTTAAAGTAGCCCAATTCCGCGGGAAAACCGCAGACTTGGCAACACTGACTTGGACCCTACAGCAGGGGATGTCGTTACCCAAAATGTAACTTGTAAAATAATTATGAAGAACAAAGCAATTCATGAAACCTCACATAATGGAAAAGGTAAAAAAAGAAAATCAATATATTTGCATATTACATATGTAACGAAGAACTGGCATTGTATTATTTTGTGTTTGGAGTAAAGTAGTTACCCCTGTGTATGTTTTTGTCTTTAGAAAGCAACTCCTGACATGCATCAGTTCTTGAATGAACTCAGACAGCGAGTGAGAGTCGGGGTGGTCGGAGGATCAGACCTGGACAAAATTAAAGAACAGTTGGGTGATGATGGTGTGTAGAACAATTGCAAAACTCTGTTTAAATACATGCACGAAACATTCAGTGTATTTATAGTGTTCATGAGTACTTAAAATCTTTCATATCCTTTACAGTTATTAATAGAATGGATTATGTGTTTGCTGAGAACGGTTTGGTAGCATACAGGTTTGGGCAGCTGCATTCTGTGCAGGTAATTTTAATTCTCGGTTTACTATTAAATGAGATCACAAACTTGTTTAGCAAATTATATTTGTTGTTTTTCTATTTTAATATTTTTAAACATTTTTTTTTTTAATCAGAATATTCAGGCATACTTGGGAGAGGAGGTTTTACAGGATTTTATCAATTTCTGCCTCAATTACCTTTCAAAGATAAAACTGCCCAAGAAAAGGTGAGGATATCACAACGTGACGTCTGTAGTTGCTTGCGGAAAACATATTTTTATTGCTTTATTTTAAAGTTGGTCAATATTGATTGTGAATATTATAGTTTATTTTCAATTTCATTTCGAAAATATTTTTATTTATTGATTATTGATAATAATAAGAAATGTTTCTTGATCAGCAAGTCAGTGTATTAAAATGATTTCTAAAGGATCATGTGACACTGAAGACTGGAGTAATGATGCTGAAAATTCAGCTTTGATATCACAGGAATAAATTACATTTTAAAATTGTAATAACATTTTATAGCATTTCTGTTTTTGCTATATTTTTGATCAAATAAATTCTTACTGGCCCCAAACTTTATGTATATATAAACACCATCTTTTTTCTTGCAACCATAATACTTATGGTATTTTTACTTCATCTCAGAGGCACATTTATTGAATTCCGTAACGGAATGCTGAATGTCTCTCCAATTGGTCGAAGCTGCAGCCAAGAAGAAAGAATTTAATTCTTTGAACTTAATAAGGTAATTTTTTTGTATTCATCAATACTAATACAAACTAAAAAAACATGTACATCTATGCTTGAAAATCCATGCAATTATTTATATATTATATATTAATAGTTTTTTTCTTATATATCAAAAAATCACGCATTGTCTTTTGAAAGAATGTCATTAAAGGTTGAGTGACTTTTTTAATGTTCTTATGCAGAAGGAGAAAATCAGAGAAAAGTTTGTCTCTGTTTTAAAGGAAGAGTTTGCTGGGAAAGGACTAGCTTTCTCCATTGGTTTGTAACAATTTAAGTACTGTAGATATGGTTGTATAGCCAATAATATGTCTGTGTAGTGTATATATAAATTCTATACATCATAATATGTATGTTTATTTTTTCCTGCAGGTGGGCAGATCAGCTTTGATGTGTTTCCAGTGGGTTGGGATAAGCGATACTGTCTGGGAATTGTAGAGAAAGACTCATATCAACGCATCCATTTCTTTGGAGACAAAACTATGCCTGTGAGCCCAAACATTGACTACTACAATCTTGACTAGTAGTAGCATTTGTGTATTCATGCATTCATGTGCTGCTGCATAAATGTCTCAGACTTGCTTGAATTAAGCGGATTTGTTATGTTTTTTTTTTTTTTTTTACAAACAGGGCGGAAACGATTATGAAATCTTTGTAGACCCCAGAACAATTGGTCATGAGGTCAAGTCTCCTGAGGACACACAGAGGATCTGCAAGGAGCTCTTCTTCAGCTCTGTCATCCAGAAAGAAGTACAGTAGAAGAATGCAATGTCCATGAACTGTGAAATTATGAATAGAAATCTCACTTGACATGTCCAAGCCATTATTGTCTTTGTGTACTTCAATGATTGTACCTCATGACAGGTACTAGATAAACCTGTACATACAGTGTTCATTTTCTATGTAATCTGATATTATTTACAGGTTTAAGGAACTGACTGGTGCTAGCGTCACTATATCTGAACTTC